AATGAATTCATTAAGTTTACAAAAACAAGTTGTTGAACCAAACAGCAAGATTTCAGCAACACTATTCAAATTATGTAAATTGGCCAGGTTCCGAAAGGATCTTATCAATAATTATTCTTGCTCAAAGAATTTTTAAGAGTGTAAAATTGTAGAAAACCCATGTTTGAAGTTTTTCTTTTTTTTTTTTTTATTGTATTCGCATTCACTCGGAACAGGAAGAGTAATTATTTTCCCATGGCTGAGCTAGGACAGGACAGAAGGTTCTGTGAGGCAGTGAATGCAAGAGGGGAATGTGCCACAGTATGGGTTTTGTGTTTTTCAAAGAAGTAGCACATATGGCTTTTTCTTAAGAATATAATAAACACCAGACTCTGGGTCAGACCCATGAACTGCCCAAATCATTGTTTGTTTGTGTCTGTATCCTGGGCTATTTGTGCAAACACATGTAAGTCTTCCAGGGTGCAAACCTCAAAAAATTAGGTGTTCCAAACATCCTGAACCCCTCTCATTAGGAGCCAAGTCCTACATTTTAATTCAGTGATACTAGTGTATTGAGTCTGGCAGATTGTTCTGTATGAATGAGCAGTAAGTGTCTGTGTTGCTAAATACAAATCATATTTTGCCAAATGACTTCATTCAAAAAGACATGCCAAACAACTTTTTGATTTACTGATCTCCTGCTGTTATTCAAGATGAACTCCTGAAAATGAGTAGACTGAGCCATGGCTGCATTGTTATAGAGTAGGTCAGTTACTTGGTTCTAAAAATGGAGAAGGGTGGGACTGACTAGTATTGGCTGCAACAGGATGGCCATATGAGGGAGTAGACTAGCTGTGCTGGCCAAGATGTGATCAGTGGCAGATCTGATTTTGAGGAATGGTACCATGAAGGTAAGGTATTCAAATATTTACAACATGGAACCTGTTTGACTTAACCAGAGTACTACAATTCATACAACTTTATGCTTTTAGCCAGCTGACTTTTTTTCATGTTTCATTCTATTTGTATTGTCAGCTTGTACAGGTAAAAGTGAGACTCTTTTATAGTGCTGCTGCTTATCAACAAACTAGGGAATATTAAACTTTGACTATGCAATTGTGGGGAATGTAAAATGAACCATGTATTAAAATAGAGTGGAAGAAGGCACTTTTTAAATACTCTTGTGTTGAGGGTCACTGCATTAGAGGATAATAGTTTTAAGTGAAGCCACATTTCTAACATGAGGACAGATAATGAGAATAAATGAAACCTGTAGACAGTCTCAAAGCTTCATTTTAGCTATTATTTTTAATCTCTTCTTGTACTAAACCTTTTACTATGTAGGAAAATTGATTAATTTGTATGTATCTCTACTCTCTGTGCCCACATGCCATTGGATAAAGGATTGAATAAATAGAGAAATGGACAAGAGAGGAAAGAGGATGGAGCTGAGGCCGGATGGAGATAGGAATGCATAATCCTCAAACTGAATGATCAACTCCAGAATAATCAAGATATATATTTATGGCCTTAACATTAACCTTGATATTTAATCATTCTGAACAATGCTAAAAACAAAAGATTGTGTAATAGTGTTTAAAAAAACCACTTGCAATGAATGATCTACAATAAATATGGCTTTCTTTTTAGCATGAAATAAGAATCTGTGGAACTGGTAGTAATGTTCTCTCAGCACACAGAGCTGTTTAATTCCATATCCTCTTATTATAAGTCCTACATTTAATTTACTACCATGTGAGTTGATCTATAGCTCTGCTTAGCAAAAGTGCAGGCATGATTAAAATAATACTTCATTATCATATCCAATGGGCTTTGAAAGCATTTTTTCTCTCAGACTGTCTAATAATTTTGAAAATGATATGCAGGCTCTTCTAAGGCTAGATTTCCAAGTTACCAGTTTTTGTCTACCTGGCTGTACTTTGAGCAGTGGCAGGATTAGTCAGAGGTATGTCTGGTGATAAATTTTTTGCAGATACTGTCTCCTTATGCATCCTTAGAAATAGCCACTAAAATAACATTTTAGAGCAGGTCTCTTTCAGAGCATCCCAGTCTCGCTAGTATGATTAACTGCCTACTTTAGCCTTTGCCTTTTGGGATGCTGCTGGACTGTAGGATTTCCCAGTTTGCGAAAGAGAGGATTCACTTGTTATGCATGAATGATGCATTTTGGAATTACTGCTATGACAGACACCTGCCTGAAACAATGTGGAATTGGTTTTGGTGGTCACTTCAGTGCAGATGACTTAATTTGCAAAGCCAGTTATTTCCACAAGTTGTTCAGAATTGGTTATTCTCCACAGCAGGCAATTTTAATTCCATATCCACTCTCCTGTTTTGACTGTGTAGTATGACTGTTTGCCAGCATTTTTTGTTGTAAGAATAAGGAAAATGCTGTTGTTCGACAGGTGTCACAAGTTATTATGTTTTTATTCTGTTAAGAACATTATTACTCTTCTCTGATTCTATTAGTTCAAAAAATGAGTCACTTTGGTTTTGGCTTTATAGATTTCTAGGATATATTGAACTCTGACAAAAATTATTTCTCACAAAGAATTCACCTTAAAATCACCACAGTTACAGTTCAATTTATGAGGACTTTCAGTTGTTCAGAATCAGGAACCCAGGAAGGAATTACAATGTACGAAAGTGTTGTGAAACCAAATTAAGGAAGTTTTATTTTCTTTAAATTAAATTTGATGAGGGGCTGGGGATTTAGCTCAGCGGCATAAGTGCCTGCCTTGCAAGCAGGCGGTCGTAAGTTCGATCCTTGGTACCGATAAAAATGAAAAAGACAAAAAAAAAAAGGAAAAAGACAAAAAAAAAATTAAACTTGATGATGGGGCCTTTGCAAAATACTAAAGTAAATAAATAGTCTTATTTATGAGTAATTATTATTTTAGTCAGCATGTTCTTCGATTTTGACCTGTTCTCATATGGAGAACTTTATTGACATATTATACAACCAGTCTTCACTTCTTTTACTTGTTAACTTACTAGGCTTCAAAACCTCTGACATATTTGTTGAAGAACACAGAATGTACTCCTATGAAAGATTTATGTGTCTAAATTACTCTCCCCCACATTTGCCCAAATCACTTTCACCCTGTACAAAGTCATACTTTGTCAAAGCTCAGATGGTTATTAGAGGTTATTTAGCTCAACTAGGATAAAAATCACCAGGGCAATTTTTTGCCCAAACTATTATTTCTCAAGCATTAAACATCGTGAAATTACTTTTCTCCCCATTGCCAGTTAAGTACCACTGATTTTGTTTGCACTTTTATCTCATCAATAAGGAGACATTCTTCCTTTCACAATTTTTACTAGACATCATAAACAAAAATTAATTTCAACTTTAACATCACTGATTTTTGATGAATGGAGTTAAATATTCAAAATTTCCTTCAGTAGATGATGGAGCACAAATTATTTATGCTATATGTTTTAGAAAACAAATTATGAGAATCTGATATTGTTAAAGAAAAAAATGTCTAAGTTACTGATCAGGAAGTCAGTAGATAAGAAATGTTGCAAGTTTGTCTTTGCTTCAGTGCTATGTCAGGCACTGACTAGATGAGTAGATGTCCTTTATCCTGGAGCTACCTGATAGCTGAGCCCTCGTATATTGTCTCAGCTATCCAGTCATTTCCTACAAGGTATGGGAGGCAGCACTCATTGTGTTAATTTTAACTGCTACCCTAGTTTCATTTTTAGCAGAAGGAGCTTAACAACTATATTGATAGAAGCATATCCACAAAGGTATGCTTTAATAAAAAACATGAACTCTCAAAAAGATCCAACAGGCTCTAATGGATAGATATGGAGAAGACCCTCAGAAAGTATGAAATTGATTTCTCAGAGGACTTTTTATTCCCTTAAAAAGTGGAAAGTTTCAGGCTAAGTGAAAAAATACCAAAAGAAGTTTTCTTTGACCCCTTTTCCCCTTCTAGCCCTTTATATCCTTATAGAAGAAAAGAATAAAAGTCTGTGACTTCTCTCACATATACTGAAAAAAAAAACCTCCATTCCAGGGAATAATGCTCATTTGACTTTCCGTTTGCCCTACAGAACTTTGGATATCCCTGCAGCCTACTTGGCAACCACTGGTCTGAGACATGCACAAATCTAGGGGAATGCAATGGGATAGTTAATGCTTTTAAAATTTCATTTTTGTGTTTACAAAGAAGTTCAGAACTTAGAGTGATTTTCCTTTAGCTCTATTAAGTAATTAGTCATGTGATATATGAGGGAAAGAACAGTTTCCTTTTGATTATATGATAATCAATGAAAAAATATTACTTTTTAATAACATTAGCAAGAAATTACCCCCACTTACTTAGGGGACTACCTTTTTTAAGGCACTATCACAAGTTTATTTCCCATTTTAAAACAGGTACAGTCTCTTGGCTAGGATAATAGAGAAACTGCAAAAATGCCCCACCCCAAAGTGATTTGAGTCTTTAGCTCATAAATTGAAAGGTACTGTGTAATGTCCAATCTGATTATTGTCAGTTGGTTATTCAGTCTTATCCTAAAGAGTTTGCTTGGCTACACAGAAGTCAAAGCTTTAAACATATTAGACAGTCTGGAAGGGGATCAGCACAGGAAGTTTTAGAATATAATCTGAAGTGGTGAATGTACCTGCAATCCAGGATGAAGTCAGTTCCTTATTGCCATGAGTCTCAGTTTGGGAGTACTTGCAGGATCATTGCCATCTACTGCCTTACTCTGCATGTAAGCCCAGAATATTTTTTCCAGATTTCTAGACGAAATAGCATACCTAGTACATGTTGGACATGTGCAAATCAATATTTTTAATCTTTTGGCATGATAATGGCCTTCAATTCCAAAGTCAGAGCTTTGGGAAGAGAAAACTGATATATGTACTTCTAAAAACCCGGAGGAAGAAAAAACTACATTCTTTTGAAAGTTAAATTATAACCTTTTCTTTTTGTTTCTATGAAGAAGAATATACTAATAAAGCTGCCAATTTTTTTCAGGTGGGTGTACATGGCATTAGAATAGAATTCATCAATGAAAAAGGATCAAAACGCACCGCCACCTACCTACCGGAGGTTGCAAAGGAGCAAGGTCATTGTGCTTTATTTCCTATGATCTGGTGAAGAATTTAAATAACTACACAAATTGAAATGTGATATCTGACCTTGCAGTTATATCTGATAATTGATCAGTATCAAATTATGAGAAATGACTCTTCCATCACTGCTACTGCAACGTCAGTATCAAATTGGTGAATCATTCACACAGAAGCTGAATTTCTGCCCTGCAATTTGACAGCATATACTCACAGATGTGTACTTTGAAAAAAAGCAAAATTTTTGAAAGTTAGGTTTTATTTTAAGGAAGAATTTGCCGGTAATCTGAAATGCCATTTTTTTTCTTATTCCATTGTGCTGTAAGTAGCTTTGTAGCTTAAATATTAGCTTAAATAAGGCTTTAATTTGATAGTCAGCTACATAATTCATTATCATTGTCAGTATCTAATGTCTCATTCTTAGGTGCTTGCCATTACTCATTCTTTTAATAATAAGCGTGTAGGTTTTTCATTAACATTGAGAGAATTGTGAATACATGAAGTTTTGGTCTGCACTTCCTAATTTTTTTTTATTTTACAAAACATAGCAGAGAACTTTACAAACACTGTAATATAAAATAACTTCACTCTGTAGTATTCTATTTTATTCCACTACTAAATTTTATCTTCATACTTGCTGAAATGAGTATTTCATTTATTTTAGAGTTTTTCTTGTTATCAGAGAGCATTTAAATTTTGATTCCTGTTTGTATTCCAATAAATATGAGATACATAACAGCAAAAATTTCATGTCATTGAACCCCTAAACAAGAAAGTCTTTAAGGTAGTTATGTTTAGATTTATTTGGAATGCTTTAGAAAATGTCTTAATCCTACGGTATACTTGTACTCCATAAAGCATACATAAGAAAGAGAGGGCTTCAGATGTTAGTATATAATCCATGTCACAACCAATAACAATATTGTTGAATATTGAACACAAATATAGTTGATGAGTTACAGAAGATACCATTAAGATCAACAATTGCTGGAGCATCAAATACTATGGCAGGACTTTTGATGATGCTCTTTTAGAAATGTTACTGTTAGAGAATAAAATGATTGTGGTTTGTTACAGAAATACGATTGCGCGGTTTTTGCCAATTTCTTAAGACTCCTTGCATTTGAATGTGGTTGAGATAAAGATGCCAATGTTAGACATTATGTATAATTAGAATTTAAAGCATATGATGAACCTTCCTTTATAGTTCTGTATGATTGTGTTTAGGACCAAAGGAATTGATGGCATTGGCTAATTATAGCTGACCTTTACAAAGTCATTTTGTAGCTAACCAAAGGTGCCTGCTACATGTACTTGACTGATATTTTGTTTGGTTGACTCTTCACAGGATGGGACCATATTCAGACCATAGACTCCTTACTAAGAAAAGGAGGATACAAAGCTCCAATTACTAATGAATTCAGGAAAACCATAAAACTGACCAGGTACAGAAGGCATTTTCTGACGCAAGATTAACTAATACATTTTGATGCTAATTCATTTGATTTCCTCATCCTCTAAATATACTTGCTTCCCTTTTCTAAAACAATGGAAATAAATAGCACGATGATGCTGATGGTAGATGCAATTAAACTCTGTTTGGCAGTAAAGCTTCTATGATAAATGAGTCCATCCTTTCCATCCTTGGCTCTGTGTGATTACTCTGACTTTGTACAGTCTTGAGACTGTGACTGGAGAAAGTACCGGAATAAACTATTGGCTAGCTTTTGACATTGACTGGCAAAACCCTAGAATTCTGATAAATAGTTCTTAAATTTGAATTCAACCTTAGAATTTTGGTGCTTTGTTCACCATGAAGCTCACTGAAAAACACAATTGAGCTAAACTTAAATGGTAAATAAATTTCATCATGGAATAGAAGGGATACTTATTTAAAATGGAAAATATCAAACACTGTAGGAAAGACAGGTTTTTTCAGTTCCAGCATTGAGTGCCTGTAGTATAAACATGGACTGTTTTCAGTTCTGGGCAGTTACAAATTTGAAAATACCTCAATTTCTGCTCTCACTGAGTTTACAGTTGAGGAGACTAGAAAGGCATGTATAAAAATAATTGCTATATGGTTGAGCATGGTGGCATATGGCTATAATCTCAGAACTTCGGAGGCTGAGACAAGAGGATTGAGTTCGAGGCCAGCCTGCTGGGGTTTTAGCTCAGTGGCATAAGCACCTGCCTGGCAAGTAATAGGCTGTGCGTTCTATCCTTTTCTTTTTGGATAGAAAAAGAAAAAAAAAATAGAAGTCAGCCTGGGCTTCCTAGTGAGTTCAAGGCCAGCTTGTGCTGTGAACTGAATCTGTGTCTCAGAAAAAAAAATTTTTTTCCTATAGGGGAAAATATGATGGATGATATAAGATCATAAATTTGGAAAGAGGAATTCCAGGAAGGTATGGAAAGGTAACAGAAGATGTCAGAGACAAGTTGGATCTGGGACGGTGTTTGAAGAATGAGTGGAATATTTGGCAGGTGGAAATAAAGAAAGGGATTCCTTGAAGACCTTGTGCGTCCCTGCATACAGATGGCACAATACAAACTTCGTTCTGAGGAATGTGAAACAGTCTGATTTGGCTGGTCTTTTTAAGCACATAAAGAAGGTAGTCATTAGAGGAAAATACAGCCTAGAAGGTAAATCAAGTCAGACCATAAAGGGTCTTTTGTTCCAGACTAAGAAGTTTGGAAAGCTTCTATAGGCAATTGGTAGGCATTATAGGGTTTCAAACAGATGGCCTGGGAGAAGTGTAAGATTGGAACTGGAAAAAGGAAAATGAACTAGGAAACACTGCTAATATCTAAGAATCCATGGCAGGATTACAAGGAAGTGTGACGGAGTGTCTTTAACTAGAGCTGTGGCAGTAGAAAGGAAGAAAGGCAGGGACAGATTTGAAAATATTGAGGAAGAAATGAAAGGATTTGGTCATCATTTAGAAATGAGGAAGGCTTTAATCTAGATAAAAGAAACTGAAGTCATCTCGTCAAGGTGGGAAACAGAGTCAGGGTTATGTATCAGTTCTGGATTTGAAGTACTTTTTAAGATATCTATATACAAATTTTGAGTAGATCACTGAAGATGTACATTTGCAGAGCTCACAACTAGAAATGAAATCTGTATAGAGGTCATTGGTGAAGCTGTAAGGACTGGGTTCACTGAAGGGGACAGAATGTAGAGTCACAACAACTATGGATAGAAACTAGGAAAATCCTCCAAAGCAGGAGTGGAGCGAGCTGTCAAAGATATAAGAAGCAGTTAAGAGGCAAGGGGAGAACACATGAGATAGAGAGCTTCAGAAAGTGAGTGAGGGGTAGTATCCTAATGGAAAGGTCAACGGGAAGCAAAGGCAGAATTTTTGAGAGTTGCTTCCATGGAAGAGTGGCAGCAGAAGCTAAGGGGCACTGGCCAGGGATGAAAAGAAGATTGAAGGTAGAAACTATATATTATTCTTTTGAGAAATATATCAATGAAAAGAAAGCTAGACACTGGGGAAAGAGAAGACTTTTGTATCACAATTCAGAAAAGTTGTTACTTAAGGCCAAGGGCTAAGTAGATGTTTGGTAGCAAAAGGTCAAAGAGGGACAAGTGACAGATCTTGAGGATAATGAGTCAAGTGAAAGAGGTGTATCTATGATAGGAAAAGGTTGCCCCTGCCCGGTCCCTTCCTGTTAGCAAACTGCGACTGAAGCGGTAATTAAATACCTAGAGCAACTTCAAACAAGGAGTAGTGTAGCAGAAAGAGTACTAGACTTGGAGTTGAGATTCTTGTGTTCTGATACTAGTTTTGCAACTTAGTAGCTGTGTGACTAGTCAGTCACTGCTTCTACCTAGGCTTGTTTCCTCATCTATAAAATTATCTCTTGAGTCCCTCATAGATAGGTCTGACAGTGGCATGTCACCTATTTCTTGATGTTAACTTTTCTGTTCCTCAATTTTCTTTCAGATACCGTAGTGAAAAGATGACCCTGAGCTATGCTGAATACCTTGCTCATCGCCAACATCATCATTTCCAAAATGGCATTGGACATCCCCTTCCGCCATACAACCATTATTCCTGACACTGAGCCGCACAACCAGTCACTGGGCCTCTCTGCAGACTTCTTCCCAGGAGACTCTACACCTTCTTGGTCTAGTTATCTCTTTTACTGTACCATTTTATGATGATAGTTTCCGTTGCCATGGTGAAGCTTCAATATCGTCACTTAAGATCATCATGGTAACGGGTAGGAAAATGGAATTTGTTAAGAAAATTGTTTTATTGTTTTTAGAACATGGTGGGGGGTTGCAGCATATATAACTTTTTGGGTTTTGTTTCCTTACTATATTAGTATTTTGCTTTGCTGTCTCAGTCAGGTTTATGTGTTCCTAACCTTAACTTCTTTCCTTTTTCTTCCTTCCTTTCTTTCTTCTTTCCTTCCTCCCTTCCTCTTTCCCTCCCTCCTTCCTTCTTTAAACTGTGGATGGAAAAGTGTGCAGATTTTAATTTTTTTCTTTTTAGGATTGTCTTTAGTTTTCCTCAATAAGATAGTTACTTTTTGATAGCTAAGTTTGGAAGTAATTAATATGAAATTCAGGTATTTGTATATTATTCATTAATTTGTCCAAAATTCACTTTGCTATGAGAGCTTAGAATATGAGTCTTCATTCCTGAAGAATATGTATTCCCCATGGTTAAACTATAACTTTAGTTGTTGTAGAAGATCCAGGATAGGGCTTGTCACAGAGAGTGAGAAACCATTTATGCCTACTGTACTGGTTATCACAGATAGATGACACTGCCTCAACACTTTATACAACCAATTTACAAACTAAAACACTGTTTTAGGAAAGTATAGACTGCCTTACACATAGGCCACAGACATCATTTGGAAGAGCAGAAAATATTAGAAAGAGCGCAGATACAGAATTTAGTGCCTTTGAGAAGAGTATAATTAAGTGGAATTAAGAGGGATTAGAAGAAAGGCAATTTAGAGAAATATTCTTCTAAAATTTTATTGTTTCAGTGTGTGAAACAACAGATTAGTCAAATTCCCTACTCTGAAGTATTTTTTTAGCTGAAAAAATTTATTTTGAGCAAATAACCAAAAAGACATCTCTCTATTTTATATTCATTTAAATTTGTTAGCTTTAGGTTTCAATAAGTCATAATTGGCCAGAGTTGATTTTCGTTACCATCTGAAGATATGGGAAAGATAATCTAATGAAACAAAAGTTGATATATGCCATGATTTCAGATATATTTGTCTGTCATGGAACAATACTAGAATTTCAGAGATACTATGAAATAGCTTGAATCTCTTTCTGCACTACATACTTTTGATAGAAACATGTTTACTATGTTGATAAGATATGTTAAACCTATAAAGATGGAGTTGACATTCAAATGTGCTGTAGTCAACAGCCTAGCTCATGTGCAGGGCTATTTTTCCCATGATGTAAAGAGCACTTACTGATATCAATAGGAGGTCCCTACATATATCCCCAGGAAAAATCACATATGTTCCTGGAGAAAGGTGACCTTCAATTTATGGTTTTATATATATATATATATATACACATACATACATATACATATGTATATATATATATATATATATATATATATATATATACAAACACACACACATACATATATATAGACATAGGTAGGTAGACTGATTTGGGGAAAATATATACTTTTTCAAACAGGGAATCAGTATATCAAGTGATGATTAAAAGTATGCTGCAGAATATATATTCTAAATTATAAGAAATGTCAACTGAATATCAAAATGTTATAGCAAATGCATATAGTTACTGTGACAGGTGACAGACTGCTAGTTCAGAATTCAAAAGTCCTTTTCCAGTTTGTGAGATACTGGCTGAATTCCTTCTGCTTGCCACTGGGGCAAAGCATACTACTTTAGTTTTTGATGAGAGTTCTTAGAAGTTTGTTGATATTCCTTCATCCACAGCATTCATTGTCAAAATAACCATTTTCAGTTGTGATGCCTTAACTAAGAAGCCAATTGTTAGCCTGCAATGCAATCTTGGTAGCCAGTTCCATTGAACCCAGCGATAAGTTAAAAAAAAAATCAGCTGGTGAGCTTTAGAAAGGGATTTTAAATCTGTCATTTCTACTTGGGAACATTTTGGAGTAGATTAGTTTTTCAGTATAAAAACAAGTGGCTACCTTACGGAGACTTTTTTTTTGCCCTTATAGGGAAACTGAGCACAAGTTGAATGATATTGTCTGCTGCAAAAAAATAAGAGAAAAAAAAAAAGAAAAAAATATAAATGAAACAAACTGAAGAGAGATGAAATAGACCAACATTATTGTAAAATCCATCTTATCCATCATCTCATCAGTTCAACAGGCTCCTTGTCCTGGATGAGCTTTATGGTTAGAAGTTTTTTAAAAGAAAAGATCTATTACATACACATATGTGTGCATGTATACATTACTTACAATACGTGCATACATATGTGCGTGTTTATATATTTAACGGTGCTATTCAATCTTGAGCAGGTCACGTGACTGGTCATGCGGACTCTAAAATCATATCAGATTTTTTAAATCCTTGATATATGCAGATGTTATACAGATTTTCTTACCAGTGTAATAATGTTATACTGAAGAAATAACCATCCTGCAGGCTTCAAAGGACGAGGTCAGCAATATTTCCCACCATGGCTTGGGGGAAAGGAATAGTTTTGTGTCCTTTTGTATTCAAATTGATGCACAGTGCATTTTTGTCTCTTAAGTAACTGTTGATTAAAAGACTGTAGGGTAAAGGGTGTTATACAAACTGTAATGGTGTGCTTTATACAAATACTAGACCTTTTTACCTTTGTTGTATTTATAAAACTGTTAAATATGTGGTTTGAATTAACTTTGAACATGTTGAAATATGTAGCATGTGTAAAGACCCAGATGAAGATTCTAATTGCACAGGTTGTGTTCTAGCCAGTTGTGGTTTCTTTGTTCAGAAACACAAATGTGAATTTCACTCTTATCACCAGAATATTGTACAAGTTGTGATCTTTAAACAGCTCAGAAGTAATACTTGAACTTCATTAGAATAGCACAAAGTTTACATAGACCCCTTTAAATGTTAATTAGATCCACATAAGTTTTCTGTTTTCAAATGCAACGGGGTATTTTTCCTCTTGGAGAATAGCATGTGTTTTACTTTGGTGTATGTAGCAAAAGGCTGCCATTTCTGGAAGAGTTTTCTTGTTCTTAAACGAAGTCAGCCAGATAACAGATTCAGAAAGAACAATTGGTCCCCCACCCCTTAAGTGGCCTTCTGATGCACAAGCTGTGCTACTCCCCTGTGTTGTCTCCCCTACCACAAGAGGTTTTTGAAATTGATGGAGGAAGTGCAAGGCTTGCTTCCCCTTCCCTCCATTTAAAGCAGTTTTAAGACTTTCCGTCCAGTGCATAGTGTCCTAATGCCTCCAGCACACCAGAAGTTTGTATACTGGCCTCTTTTTATTGTCTTCAAATGTGCAGGAAATTCGAAACTGTCATCTGTAATAGATTCCATCTCTTATGTGTGTTAGATCAAACCAAAGAATCCCCTGGCCATGCCCACATGCTGCTCCAAAAGCCTGCCTTCCAGTCCTTACAAAAACCTTGCAGGATTAAATGTGTTAACTTTTTTATTTTTGTACAGTTTCTAAGTGATTTTTGCTAGTGATGTTAAATGAATTAAGTTTATTTGAGGAGTATGAGCACCTCCTCCATTTAAATAAACTGGTGACTTTTATTTTTAAAACCAGAAACCTATTGTGTGCCTCTCAATTTAAAGGTTTCTGATTACATTATTCTGAAGACCAGCATTGATCCTTTATATACAAAGATGTTTTTCTTGTTTTTTTTTATTACTGTTTCAAAAGAAAATGAACCTTTTATTTTGCTCTGGACCCAGTAACTGCGCTGGTACATAGACGCACTGAGAAAAACTTTTGTAACCACCTTTGACTGCTTTTGTATATCAAAGTTGATTACTTTTGAAATATTTGGATCTAGTTTCTAAGTTATTTTAGTGTTTTATATGTTCCCCAAAATTCTTTGAATTGGTCACCAGCATAATGAGTTTTTGGTGATGCAATGGTGAGACTTGTAATGAGCTAAAAGCTACCTGGAGTAGCTCCTTTTTTCCTTCTTTCTTAGTAACCTGTTTTACAGTAAGAATCACAGATTACCTGAAATTCCTTCCAGTATAACTAGATCCTCCTTCCTTCCACATTTAATTGCTTAATAGTTTAAAGAAACTATTGAAAATGGGCATTTTATATGATATGATATGATATGTATGGCTTTAAAATATTAAAAATGAGAAAAAAGAAAAATATGAGAAGGTTTATGTTGGTCTGTATGGTATGGCTGTGGAGAGATAATGTAGTAGTTTTGACACTATTGTTATTACCTTTTAAAAATCATTTACCCAATAAAATGTTAAAACCAAGGAGTCATTTGTTTGTTTATTTTATCAGCCTCATCACAGGATCTAGTTCTTATTGGTACTTTTTACAAAAAGGTTAACAGCCGACAACTCTGAATTAAAATAATTAAGGAACTGGTACTGATTTAGTTGCAAACAGCACTTGGGAAAGCTTATCTGGCCACAGCTGCTCCCTGTCATTTTTTTTTTTTTTTTTGCAGATGTCATACTTTTGTCTAGTCTGAATCCTGGCTTGATAATGTAGATTAACCTGGCCACAAAATAGACAAGCTTAAAATTGGAATTCCAGGGGGAGCTTAGCTATGCTTAAGCCTGTTCCAGATAGCTTCCAAATCAGTCAGTAGTCAGTGGGCATTTCCTTTTGTGAGCTAGTGGTGAACAACAACAGTGCTATCCAGGGGAAGTCACCTGACGAAGTAGGAACTATTTTTTTTTTCTGCCATCGAGGAAGGCTTGCCCATTTTCTCAGCACAGGAGGTATTCTCAAAATGTCCACGATTGGCCACCCAGAGCTCACACATACACTTAAACTTGGCACCAGTTACTTTCCCCACACCAGGTTGGCACCCTCCAACTCAAGTTTGGGGAAAACTCTTGAGTATGGGTTAAGGCAACTGGTATTACTGACTTTCAAGGGTCAAATAAGAGACTACATCAAGAAAGAAAGCTCCTGGGGTGCAATCTCTGGCAACTGTTGCCCCGTTTCTTTCCTTATGGAAAAGGTACCAAGAGCATTGTACTGCTGGCTTTTTCTAAATCATCTGCTGTCTCACTTTTATCATGCATGTTTTTGGGTTGGTTAGTAGTTGTATATATGCAGGACTATTTTCTGTTACATTGGCCCAAAGCCCTGGTCCTATGTGAATTTTATGACACACATTTATGCCAATCATGATGACTAAAAGCAACCATCTCAGAACCTGAAAGACTGTTATGGTTTCAAATAGTACTCTGCGAAAGCAACCATCTGCTTAGGGTTTACTCATTTTCATCATTTGTATTTAATGAGACACAAGATTTTTTAATGATTTGAACAATATGAGTAGCTTCAGGTGGAATGAAATCATGAGTCCATGACGTTCTTTTTTATAGCATTAGTGGTTAACTTGATGGTCTGAACAGATTTCATCTTCACTTATCATACTCCACCTACCTAAATTCTTTCCAGAGTTTCATCATTCCTTGTTTAGATTCCTTGTCCCATTGGAAACCCCTGAAATAAGTCTGCTGCTTTGGAGGCCAGTAGACCTGTGTGGGATGAGGCACTTCCTCTGTGTAAATGGGAAACACTGTCATACACACAGGACTCTATCAGTGTGAACTAGAGGAAAGTGCTGTGGGCAAATTACACCTGGATCAAAGCTGCCAGCCAGGAGATCCAGAAAACAACTCCTCAGAGTATTTCCTCCTTTCTGCAGCATTGACTACAGGAGCTGAGGCAAGTGTGCATTTGGGTTAGTTAAACCCTCGGCTTTCTCATCGGTTTATCCAGGCTTTTCACCTGCAAGAGGAAAACATACTGGGAGAATGAAACTGAGGCAAGTTTTGTTTTTTAGCTACTGCAATAAAAGGCCTTCCTTGATGCCCATGGCACTATAGCACAACCTTTTGTTCCAGATACCATGCCTGATAGAAGAAGCTTTCAAGAAAGAGGGAGAACTACATTAGGTCCTAAGCACTATTCAGAAGCCAGTCTACCTCCTCATCCCAAAAACCTGATTACAACCTTGCTTAAAAAAATGACCCCTTAGGGTGGGGGTATACGTCAGTGTTAAAGCACTTGCCTAATGAAATGCCCAGGGTTGCATCCCCAGCAATTCCAAAAAAAATTATACCTTAAAATGCAGTAGTTGCCCCTTATCTATAAGGGATGTATTCCAACACCCCTAGTGGATGCCTGAAATCACAAGAGTACCAAACGCTATGCAAAACATAGTATTAACTTTTTGCCTATATACACCTATGGTGGAGTTGAATTTAAAAATTCGTCACAGTAGAAGATTCACAACAACAACAATAAAATGGGACAACTGTAACCATATATTGTATTAAAATTGCTGGTAACCCTATGCTTGAATTTGGGGCTGTTGTTGGATGAAATGAGTTATATACACACACTAATACTGCAACAGTCAGCCTACTAAATGGCTACTAAGTGATTAAAAGTCGGGTAGCATACACAAGGTGTAATCTAAAAATAAGGTGAATAATTTTTTAAAAAATACAGTAAAAGACACAATTTCTGTTACCATTAACCACTCTCAAAATACTCTTCCTTGCTTCAAACACATTTATTCCATTGCTATTGCCACTTTCTGAAGCAGTTCTGGAAATCCTCATTCATAATTATTCCTAGTTGTGCTGTGTGACTGCCTCAGGCTCACTCAGCACTGAGCCAGAAGACACAGAGTGTCACAGTGAATGAGTGGATGAGGATACACCATGTTTTTACTAGCCTGCCTTTCCATTGGATGACATTTGGCAGCAGTATTCATAGTATTTTTGGCTATACTTGTTAAAGGCCTCTATGAAAGAAGACTTCCAGAACTGCATCAGAAAGTGGCAAGACTTATGTGTTATGTTCTAAGTGAGGAGGGCTATTTTGAGGGGGCTTATTGACAGCATGTCTTGTACTCTAATAAATTTTAAAAGTTTAAACATTTACTATATTTTTGATCACCCCATCCATGTACACTGTGGATATGCTGGACAAAGGGATGATTCACATCCCAAGTGGGAGATAGTGTGAGATTGCATCATGCTACTCCTAACAGTATGACATTTAAAACTTATGAACTGCTTATTTCTGGAATTTTCTATATTTGGACTATGGTTGACCACAGGTGAATGAATCTACAGAAAGTGAAACCATGGATAAGATGGAGGTTGCTGCATAATGTTCAGAGGGTAACGACTATGTATCTCAAACAGTTTAAATGGATCCAGTCAGAGAGCAGGTGAGAGGGCACATGCTTTATGTAAATCATCACTGACAGGCCGTTACAGATTTCCATCACTGCAGATGATTACTTCGCCTGACAATGATAAGATGTAGAGTATGCTAAGTGTGGAGCATGTCAGTAGGTAGTGACTGCATAGTGTGCTTCTGCGTTCAGCTACAATAGCATCCTTCAGCCTATGCTCCCATTCTAATAAGATACCTGCAGTTCCCAAGAAGCCTTTGTTTTCCTTTCTAAATCTTAGCTGGCACCTCATTATGTTAAAGGTATGATTTAAAATGGCATGCCATAATTATAAGGTATAAATGTATAGCGATTGCTTTTAATGCTAAGAACAAGGTTGTTTAATGTAAATTTGTAATTTGGGTGATGATGGATGTAGAGTTACAGTCTGTATTTTGATGTGGCTGTATAATAGCAAAAAAGTCTCAATTTGCATAGAGAAGATAAGGCCTCTTATTTGTAGAATTTTATGAAAATGTGTACATACAGGCCAAAAAGATATAAAATTCCTGTGTAGTCAAAAATTTCTGAACCAACGAATCAAGGCTTTTAAGAAGTTCATGTGGGAAGAAGCATTCAGAAGTTCAACAGAAATGAAGTCAGCTTCCCGATTCCTGTTAACTTACTGGTGGTCTTCAACTGCCATTTTGGATGTAACACAGTAGGTGTCTGCTAAGTATTTTCTTTGGTTTTTACTACAGTTTTAAAATGTTGCATGTCTAAACAAACACACGTCCTTTTGGGATGTCATGTTTGTGGAAACTGGGAACAATTCAAACAGAACCCCAGGATTTCACAGGGCTATCTAAAAACCATTGCTGGAGCCCCAGAACTACCAGTTATTTTGAATGCCTTTGGGAAGCTATTATGTTATGAAATGACAATGCTTTTTGGGGCCTTTTTCCTCCAAATGTTAAACTTGATATGATCCATCAATATTTATTTTGTGCCTGTCCCCCCAGAGACACAGCATTACGCATGGTTTCAGAATGAATAGCACGCTTTGGGCTAAAATCTGGGAGGTGTATAAAGGAAGTTTGGTCTAGTTAGAAATGCTCCTTCAGACAGGGCTCCACACAAGAGTGGGCTGGCAATTGTAGGGCTTACTAAATGGTGTCTACCTTGCAGTAGCATTAGTGCATACTTTCAACTGCCCCTCTTTGCAAATGGCATTTCTAGGGGCCTTCCAACATGTCAGTGCCATAAAACACCCTATATTTGGCCCAATCATGATTTATAAGTAGAATACAGGATGGTTTCTATTTGCATGTCATGGCTATCTTGCTCCCTAGCAGGAATGTGCAGGGTAGCTGGGAAAGAAATTATGTGAGTGTTTAAAAAATAGGTTTATGGATATACAAAACGGCATTTGGTGGCTAAAAGCTGTGTGCCTTACTGCAACGCTGCCCTCTGAAAGATATCAGACCCATCTCATGAGCAAGACAAAGAAGAGACAGAATTGCTCTAAGAAGCTGTCTTGAGGCTTAAGAAAGAGAACAAAATTTATGGTATGCTTATCTATCGTTGAACAAATATCCCATGGAGGTAGGGAGGATCCCTTCATGGAGCAAGAGGAAAAGGATAGTAAGGGTAAATGGTAAGGAAAGGGAAATCACGCCCTTTTGCCTTACCTACTACATGGGAAAGACAGGAAGGCAATATTAAATTTGGGATATTATAAAACAGGAAGTGTAACTGGTATACAATAGGATGTTTAAATCACATTGTGACTTACAGGAAACTGCTGAGAGTTGAGGCCACTTCCTGAACATTGGGTGGACTTGAAACTATAGTTGGTATATTCCTCATAAAATTTGCATTTTATGAGGTATTTTAAAATGCTCCAAGGTTACCATATGTGCCAGCGTGTGTAAGCAGATTTGTGTGGATCAGCATAGACCATAGCGGCTGGCCAGACAGCTGGTTGGGGTATCATACTCCCCACTCCCACAGATCCTGGGAGAACAAAAAGGTGTCTTGGACTACAAAGTGTGCAGAACTCCATGTTTTTTTTTTAATGCTGCTGAGACCAATGCAGAG